AGTTTTCTTGCAGTTTTACAAAGTAGAAGTATAATAGAGATCTTGCCTGCAACAGAGTACAATGAGAAAACATAAGCAAAGATTAAAGTACTGATCTTCTAGCACTTAAGAAATGCTTTTGAAAGAGCTGTACTACTAAGATAGCTTATTCTGAAAACACTGTATCAGTATGCATATGTTTTTAAACTTTTGAGATAATGCTTGCTGTGCGTGACATTAGTATTGGCTGTATTACCTGGCGTTTAGAAGAAGGTTTCTGAGTCATGTACTGTGCTTGGTTGCTCTGACAAATTATGAGGAAAAAAAAAATCAATTCTCTAAATTACAACTGATGGGGAGACTGGCTTATAAAAGTGCTGTGGATTTTTCTGCAGTGACATCTGTGGAGTGTATATATAGTAGGTTCCCAAGCTGGAAGCCAGAAGAGTATGTGGGAAGTGTGAAAGGGGGATGGGAGCAAACAAGAAATTCAGACAAAAGGAAATTGATGATGCAAGTTAATGCCTTTTCTTAGTGATATTGATAAATTTCTGCTGCTGTTCAAGCAGTCTAAATTATTCTCCTTCTGATTCTGTTTCCTTTTGCTTTTCTCCTGTTGCCTGGAAAACATGAGTGGAATCTAGTAGGACAAGAGGCTGTTTTTTTATTGTTTTGTGGCTCTGTTGCTAGCTATTGTCCTCTTGGCTGAGGCAGTTCATGTCAGTCTTTGTGTGGAGTAAGAAAAATGTTTTTCCTTTTTTCTTTAAAGATTAAATTTCTAAACTGTGTGGGTTGCTTTTATTTGAAAAGCAAGCAGTGCTAACCTAACAGTATCTCCCGCCAACTAATGTATTTTTGCTTGCAATGTCACCTTTAGCACTTTGCTCATTCAGATGTGGTTTTGAAATTTGTGGGCTAGTTTTGGAGGTAAAGCAGTCTTGAAATCTGGTTTCATTTTTTAATGTAATTTGTTTAGAACAAAGGAACTCTAAGCAAGACAGTGCATTTCATGAATTTTTCTGTTAGGAATAAAAACCAGATCGCTGACAATGTGGTATGTTTTCAACAGTTGGAAATAGAGCCAATTTTGCTCTTAAGTAGGAGCAGAGCTCTAACACCCAGTAAAGTAATGCAGCCTTGAGCAGTGTTACTGAGATCTTGTCTGTTGTGGCTGACATAACTTTGTTCCTTACTACATCACTGATTATTTATAAATGAAGATTGGTTTTGAGGACATTCTTGAAACAGAACTGAAATGTAGCTGTTTGCTAATATGAAAAAACTTGTGGATGCATAGGGTAGTGCAAAAATGACACATTTAGTTCTCTTGTAAGTAACAGTTCTTGCAGGTAGTATTGATATGATCCTACTTCTTCATTGCCTTAATTTTTGCTGTACTAATTAATTATATGCTGGTACAGAAAATAGATTGAAAATGGAAGATATTGTAACTGATTAGCTGTTGTTTTGTTTTGTTTTGTTTTGTTTTTTCTTTTTCAGGCATCTATTAACAAGCTAAAAGTGACAGAACCATGGCTCAGTTTCCAACACCTTTTGGGGGTAAGTTGTTTATAGTGTGTTCTGAACTATTCTTACATGTAAAGACTGCATAAATCTCTTGCTTTCCGAATATGTTCTGTGTGGAAGTGTTTATGGACAGACCCATTAGAGAACACACGAAATTTTGCAGACACCCCTCAGAAGTGTCAAACAGAAAAGCTTTGCAGTATCCCTTTTTTGTGCATTGATCCGTTACAGTGCTACGGTTTGTAGCTGTAGGGCAGATCCAGGCCATTCAGCCACTGGCAGTAGGGCATAGCCTCATTCTGCGCTGGTTGTGGCTGGGAAGTGAATAAGCTTTTTCTTTGAGGATTCCTGGACTTTTTGTTGCTAAAAAGTACAGCAGATGCCTTTGGGTGCTATCACTTCCAGTTTATTTTCCTTATTGTCCCGTAACCTTTGTTTAGATCAGAACAAATGTGCTCCAATTTTAGCTCTCCATTTATAACAGGGGAAGATGTAGCATCTTGAACTTCAGTCTTTCTGAAAGATCCAGGAAGGGCCCTGGTAGTGCAATAGAGACATTACTTTTTGCTATTCACATGAAAGACATTTTTGAGCCCAGTTTTGCAACCAATCTGAAGAAAGATTGCAAAGATAAATTTCAGTGCAGAGACCTAGTAATTAGTTTGGTTTCATTTAAATGTTGCATGTGTTAAGGGCTTTTCTCTGGAGATGCAGATGTCATTCTTGTTGCGTGTATATGTGTGTTTGTGTATATATATATACACACATAAATATCCATACACGCATGCACACAAAAGTGTTCATGTATGTGTGTAAATATATATGGAAGTCTGTTTTTTGGGATCAGATATAGCTAAGAACTAAATTTGTATCTAGTGTTTGTCTTTCAGTGGGAGACTTCAGGAAACATGCGTGTTATTCAGAGTACGTTGTTAGAGAAACCCAGTTCTTATTAAACACAATTGATTGAATGCAATCTCTGCCAGCCTGAAAAAGTCTGTGAAGCACAAGAGAAGCAGCATCTCTTTGCATGTGGTACTAGAACAAATGTGTAACTGGAAGCTACCATTCATTTGCCTCACTTACCTTTAAGTCCGTGCCTCTGGAATTAAATCTTGTGTGGTGCCACACTTTCTCCCTTTGGGAGTGAAACTGGCTACCAAAAGCTTTGATCAAATAAACTCTCTGGGCAGTTTCATGTAGGATACCCTTTCAGGTTGTGGAGAAAGTTGTAAATAGCTTCATTTCACTGTGATTTTCACAATCTAAGAGAAGTCATAATGTGAAAGAAATCTGCTTGTTCAGGAGTTAGAGCTGTACTTTGTGTGCACCCATATTTAAACATGTAGATACATTCTTAATGGAAATCTTGTCTTCAAAGCGTTCTCTGCCATCCTCAGGGAGTTCTCATTGCATTGCACATGGATAGCAGCTTTCTTTTTTCAACTTTATATTTTACTTTTTGATCTTGCATCTGTTGTCCAGGATCCTGCTAACTCTGGTACATGGCTTTAGGAAGGAAGGAATTCACTGTTTCTTCTCAAATGACTTTTCTTATCTGACTGCCCTACAAAGAGAAAGTTGAAACAAGCATGTGGCTAACGTAGTTTCTGGAGTATCTTTAATTTGTAATATGGTGTGAGGAAGGTTTCTTATGATATTCATACTTGAGCCAAGTCCATCACGTAGCATCATACCTCCTCAGAAAGAGTCTAAGATTGTTGTAAAAGGAAACAAATTATGCAAAGAAAATTCCAATTTTTATGGGGAAACTTATGCTTTCGATAATGCAACGTTTTCTGTAACCTGTAGTCACCAAACAAGATGCAGAGGAGAAGGTTTATGCAGTCTCCATCTTGGGAGAGCCCTCACTCCAGGTGTGCAATATCTGGTATCCCTGTGCTTGTGAATACCAATGATGATGGTTTTGTGTTTATTTCACTTCCGTTCTTTTTGAAGAATCTTTCAAGTCAGCTTGGGAAGTTGGTATGGAAAGAGCACAGCACCCAATATTTAAACTGGGGTGCCTCATTGATAGTCCAGAACACTGCTCATTTTAAGGATGACTAATTTAAAAAAAAAAAGGCATGGTAGGATTTTTATAATTGTTGGAAAGAGCGTGATATGCTTGACCTTCTGACAGTTTGTCCAGAAGAAGAAAATGCCCATTTCATATATGAGAGCCCATAGCTTCACTTTTTGCAGCTGAGGTGATTGCTAAACCATGTGAAAGAAAAGATGGTTAGAGGGCTTGCCGCTGCATTCAGGAACAGCTTGCTTATGAGTCAATTTTTTGATTTTGTGTCTCCCTCCTTTGTATCCAATTATATTGAAAAGCCCTACAACTTGTGTATTGGCATCCAGGATCTGAAGCCATGAATGTTGTCTTGGTGTTGGGTAAGATCCTGCTTCATGCCCTCCCATGGGTCTTATTGTTTCCTCAAATAACAAAAGATGGAAACGAGGCAATGCCAGAGATGCCGCTCATACCTTTCTGACTGAAGAGGCTACTAGGCTTGCTTGGTTTAACGTTGACTCTTTTGATGCTCATATCCCGTAGAGGAGATCTACTTTTTCAATACCAACCCAATCTCCATCTGGAATTGTAAATACTGACAGTCATTTGTTCTAGTTACAGGGACTCCAGAGAAGAAATCAACAAATTTTGTTTTAAAATGGTTGAAAGAATACAGTTTTAGTTACCTCATACCATAAGAGTTTTTAGTTCTGGCTTTTATTGCATTCTTTGTGGAAGGACAGGAAGAGACGGGTTTTGTTGTTGTGTTTTTGGGGGTTTGGGGTTTTTTGTTGTGGGTGTTCTTTTTTGGGGTTTTTTTTGGTACTGGAGTCATGTGTACCTCAAATTGAGAGACAGCAAGCCAGTGAATCATTGCAAATTTCCTGTTGGTTTGTTGTTTGTTTTTTTTTTTTTCCTCAAGAAATTCTCCCTCTTTGTGTAAGCTGCCACATCCAGCCTTGGAATCTTCGGCTGGAGTAGTCGTTTTTCCGGGGTGTGTTCGTCTGCTCCTAGTTGGCCTAGACTAGCTGACCTAGTCTGCATATTGGTCATAAAGTCTTAATCAGCACCACTCCTTTCCTCCTGTCAGGAGTTCATGAGAAGATGTGGGAGATAATTGCTTACCTGAACTATTGTGTTTTGGGATGTTTATATCCAGAGAAGAGTTCTGTTTCATCCCCACAGGGAGCACAGCTATGAAATCTGTTCACAGTGCCTCTGTGAGCTTAATCACTAAAATTCTGGGATTTTTTGACTAACCTTAAAATGTCCTTTCTTTGAGTTAGATATTAGCCTGTCTGGTTCTAGAAATACATATGTTACATGAAACTGAGATGGTAATTTTTTACCAACAATGTAGCTTTTCTTTCATTGGTGAAATTTACCATTTTAAGGAATTATTTTCTTCCCCTTGTCCATTTCCTTTTCTCTCCAAAGTACATTTTGCCACATGAAAGTAGTTTTTAAATAGATTTTAAATAGCAGAAATTCAGGTAGCAGGAAGTTCTAGTGTTCTTCAAAACTGATTCTGCCTCAGCCTGCAAGCAGTTTGAAATACTTCTGTAAATATTTGTGGACCTTATTACCTGAAATTTAATCTCTGAGAATTTAGTGCTGAGACAGAGTGAATGCTAGCTCTCCTCTTTATTTTTCTGTAAGTCTACAGAATATTACTTTAATAAAACAGTGACTCCGTTTACTTAGATGCCTTTATATCATTGCATTCCTATACAGTAGGAGTTACAGGAAGGTGTACAGAGCAACGTACTCCTACAGATACTGAAATCATGATTTTTACTGGTTAGAAATTGTTGGAACAAACCTGAAAGACAGTGTTAGAGAATTCATTGGAGGTCTCAAGTGGAAGCTGAGATTTATTTGCTCTGAGTTCAAATAATCTGAAGGATGGAAGTGAAATTTCTGCAAGAGGAGAGGAACTGCTGCAAAAATGGGGGTAGAACTGGAAGTGAGGCACTGTAGAAGGGTAGTAAATCTCAATGTAAACTAAATATTCACCTCCAATTTATGAGTGTGGTGTGAAGAATCTGGTCTGTGTAACATATTCTTACTCAGACTTCTCATTCTCAGAGGAATGAGGGGCATGCTTTCCTGTGCTATTGTAGTCCATGAAAAATGTTCACTATCTGGCTGAATTGTGCTTTTCCTAGACAAGTAAGGAGAGTTCTTCTCTTACAATAGTACAAAACCACATAGTACACAACTGATTATTTGAAGTGCCTTTTCAGTTAAAAGAACTTGCATTTCACCTATATGTGCTCTGAGAGGCAAATGACCTCCCACCGCCTAAATATCTAGTGTTATGAACTTCTGCATTATATCCTCTGATATGCTGATGTTGTCTTCTTATAGCCCATTTGTAAGTTTGATTGCACTTTGAGTAGCCTGCTTGTAACTTAAATTTTTGTATGAGCTAGATAAGTGAATCAGTGCTCAGCAGTCATCTTAATTTGGTAACACTTAGTTCTGCTAAGTTCATGAGTCCTGGCTGGCTATTTAAGGATTCATGGAGCTATAGACTTTGGATGAATGATTTCTGTGTGTATGTTGTTTTCAGAGGTCCAGTATGGTATAATTACACTCAGAAATAAAAATAGTGTAGTTTTTAGATAATATTTCTTAATTTTATTTCTCCGTTTCTTTTGAACTAGGCAACCTGGATATCTGGGCTATTACTGTGGAGGAGAGAGCTAAACATGATCAACAGTTCCATAGTCTGAAACCAACATCTGGATTTATCACTGGTAATGAAATAGTTTTCACTTCTGATTTCATCAAATTAAATCTTAACTAGCATGCCTAAATATGTACAGAGTTGTCTGGGAGATATTTGGACATAAGAATTAAAAAAATTGAACAGATGTTACTCATTTTATATCTCATTTTTTCATATACCTTGCCACATCAACCCTATGTTTTCTGATATTTACCAGCTTTATACCTAGTTTATGCCACTTGATTTTTCTGTGAGTAGGATTAAAATTATTTATATGTGTGTCTCTCTAAAGCAGTTCTATTGTGTAGAGCCAGCAGATACTTAATAAACTGTAGAGTTAGAAATCAGGATGTGGAATCACCCTGATGCCTGGTAATATTTACAGTGCTTTTAATGTGCTTGGTGAAATAACTCACTGTACTGAGTCTGGCTGAGATGGAGTTGACTTTCTTCATAGCAGCTTGTATGGTGCTGTGTTTTGGATGTGTTGGCTACAGCTGAACAGTGCTTGCAAAACCTCAAGGCTCTCACTGTTTCTCACTCTGCACCCCACAGGGAGTAGGCTGGGGCTGGGCAAGAAGTTGGGAAAGGGACATAGCAGGGACAGCTGACCCCAAATGACTAGATGGTTATCTCATACCACCATGCTCACCAAATCCTGGGAGGGGGCTGTTGTCTTCCAAGGTTGCTAATGCTCAGAGACTGAGCTCGAGGGGGAGGTGGTGAGTTACTGATTATCTTTGCATCACTTGGGGTTTTTTCTACTCTTTTAGGTATTAAACTGTCTTTATCGTAACCAATGAGTTTTCTGAATTCTCTCACTTTTGCTTTCCCTATTCTCTTCCCCATCCTGCTGGGGGGAGGGAAGTGAGTGAGTGACTGGGTGTTTAGTTTCTGCCTGGGGTCAACCCACCATGCTAACATACTAATGGATTAAGAAGTCTGTTCAAATGAAGATGTATCAATTTAAATGAAATCTGTTTCAGAAACTGATTGTTTAAACTAGTGAAATCAGTGTGGATGACCTCTTTAAAAAATCTAAATGGCAAAATTGATTTAAGTTGTAGGAAGCAAAGCTACAAGGAAAAGAATTCACTGATCCTATGAAATTTTCATTGAATACCACTAGTTTGCTTTGGATTTAAAGGCCATAGGATACCTGCTTTTTCGTTTGTTTTGTTGCCTTTAATTTTCTTTAGTGCTGTCTAACTGTGATGCTCAAATGAAATGAAAGGTATAAAAGTGTTTTACTTTTCTTGCTGTCTGATCCATCAAGAGGATTTCCAGAGTGTGAAATTGAAATCAGATTATCATCGCAGTCGTACAAGCCACCAAGTATACAGTTCGATTGTTTCTGCTCCTGTTACATGACAGATGTGGTACAAAATACTACTGGTTTTATTGACCTTCTTTGATATTTAGTACTATTTCTAGTCTGTTTACAACTTTCCTTTACAGGCCATACTTCCAATTACCTAATCCTTTTTTTAATTGTTTTGATATCCTTACTTTTAATTGATAGTTGGAAAATGGCTTTGAAATATACCATTGCTTTCTTTAGTGGTGGCTTATGAGGTTCACATCAGGGTGAAGACCACTTTATTTAGTTTGTGCTGGCTGACTGTCATTGTACTTCCACAAAATCCAAGATAGAGTTTATATTGATACATACTTTCCTGGAAGAAAAAGGGGTTTTGTTCTCGCAAGGCGTATGATTCCTGCAAAGAGAGCCATTAACACAGATTAGGGACTGTGAACCACGAGTTCCCCATTGCCCTAAATGTTTATGCCCAGTTGACTTCATGTGGTGCTGATTGTTGCAGACTTAAACAATATGTGCTTGTTGGAAATATCTGGTAGGTTTGCGAGTGACAAAGTAAGTTTAAATCTCATACTGTGTTATGTATGCGTAGCATTAAGTATTTATGGTTTACTGTTGCTTCTACTTTAGATATTTTTGACTCATGATTTCCTCTTACAGGTATTTTTAGCATTTTCTGACATGATGTCCTATTTATTTTATAGGTGATCAAGCTAGAAACTTTTTTTTTCAATCTGGGTTACCTCAACCAGTATTAGCACAGATATGGTGAGTATATGGGAGGGGATGGGAGAATTGCAGTTGATGTCAGAGTGAAGTGTACTGGTACAGACTTGGACAGTAACTATATTTTGCAGTTTGGGGTTTAAAATCACAAGTTCAGTGTGCTTTCCAAAAGTCTACAAGGCACATATGCTTTGCAGTGTGTTTTAGCTGGGTTTTTAAGTTACTAGTTTAGTTACTGGAAGTAGGCATCTTTCTACAAATAGCATTTTTGAAGTTGGCGATTTGAAACGCTAATTTCAAATTACTAAATGCTTTCAACTTTATTAAAACTGTGCTAATACAATCGCTAAACACAGGAATTAGTATTTAAAATCTGCTAATGGGAGAACCTGTGCAAGACTTGCAAAATTTTTTACAAAAATTAAGACTGGCATAGTCTATTTCCATTGTAGTTGGAGATACAGCTTGAAAGCTTGAATTTTTTACTATTCTTCGGTGAGTTTAGACAGATCAAAATCTCCATTGCTGTATATTACACATCACAAACATTTCTACAGTCTGCCAGTTTCTTCCTGCAGGATTGCAATTGTTTCTGCTCCAAATTATGTGACCCAGCCAGACTCAGACATGCTAACTTGCATAGATTATTCATAATTTACATTAATTATATTGCTATTAAAACTGGTTTTGTTTCTAGACAGAGTGAAATAATACTGCTTTTCATTCTAGATTGGAAAAAAGCAGCAGAGGGATAGATAACTTTTTTCAAGAAACCTGTTAACTTTTCCTCTGTTGTTAACTGTTTGAAAGAGAGAGTGGTTTATTGCAGTTATAAAAGCTTTTTCTTGTAGTAAGGACTTCTGAAGGCAGAATCTTGCTCTGACTGGAGAAAGAGGAGAATTATTTTCTTGCAAGAAAAAAAAAATGCTTTGGAAATATGCATGCCTAAAAGGGGCTGGATTTACATGGCTCTTAAATAGATAACTTATTTTCTTCTCAAATTATCTTCATCTTACAGATATCAAATCTAGTCTGGTTATCTTATTTGCTGAAGACTCAGTGAAAATTCTAAATGTCCCTTTGGAACTTCTCTTGCCTCTTAATTAAACAAGGAAAGAAGTTTTGTCTTAAACAAGACATCCTTTCTTCAAAAATGTTCCATAGTCATTAGCTTTAAATAGGTGTTAACAAAACTAAACAGTTGTAAATAGTCTGACTAAAAATCTCTTCCTCTCTGAATTATTCAGTTTTTCAGTCTCTTGAGAGGGAGAGAATCATTCCACTAGTTCTGTAGTTGTCATAGAGACAAGACCTGAGCTTGCACATCTTTTTAAATAAAGCTGAACTAAAACTTATTCATGCTGCCTTTATAAATCATAAAGAAGTGTGTAGACATCCCTTTCTCACTGTCTCTCTTTTTGATCATATCTGAATTAAGAGAAGTAAATATTTACGTAAAAATCGAGATCACTTGTATATATTCCCAGTTGGATTTAGAATAACCAAGTAGGAAAACAGTCCCATAGTGGTAGTAAGACCCCTTAAAAAGAAAAAAAAAAAAAAAAAAAAAAAAAAAAAGCCCCCCCCCCGCCGTTCTTTTCCCACAACTCGAATGATTTAACTCTTTTGATCTATCAGTGAACGTTTGTAATTTACCACAGATTACCACTGTCCCACAGAAACAATAGAGGTTAGACTGTTCAGTGGCCAGAAGTCCTTTGCAGCCTGCAAAGGACGTCACAATTTGCTCAAGGTTGCATTGAAAAATGCGGATCATTGTTCGTCTTAGCTCTCAGGGATATGATCTCAAAGTGGCACCCTTGCTTTGTGGATTTATAGCAATATTCTGATGTTGTCTATCTAAATCTCTATTAACATTGATACAAATCCGTGAGTACTTTAATAGAGGGGGGAGTTCTGGAGTAATAATCCCAGAATCTCCATGACAGATACAAGCTGCATAAAACTTCTTTTCTATCAGTAGTATTTATCTCTTGAATAGATGTGATTTATGTTTTTTTTAAATAGCATTTGATTATTAGAGGGAGAGAAGCCTTTAAGGAAAGGAAGTTATTATTCTGAGTTAGAGCAAATTAATTTTCAGATCCTAGAAATATGGAATTGTACGTATGTTGTGCTTTGGAAGTGTTTTCCTGTTCTTAATGAGTCTGCTTATTTTGAATACAGTTGATGGTATTAATCTGTCTGCAAGATAGGAGCCTAGCATTTGTTTCATAAAGGATTACCTACAGCTGTATGTAGACAAGCTTATGCTAATACAAAGTTTCATCTGTTTTGTTGGCTATGGAAATTCTTGTATAGAAAAATGCAACTGGGAAAGGAACTGCAGGGGGGATTGGCCTAATGAGTGATTGCCCATACTGCTTTCAGAGCTCTGCAGAAAAAGCAAGCCCTCCATCTCTATCAATTTCCAAACATGCTGTCTCATGAGTGAGAGAATTTTGTTTGCATAAGTGAGCAGTATAAGGATTTTCGCTGTCTTATATTTCAATTTTAGTTATAATTGAATTGCCATTTTTATATCGTGAAAAAATGATTTTCCCTAGAACTTCAAGAAATGCTAGCTGGGTAGCCAAAGTACCAGTTAAATATCTTCTACCTCAAGAGCTGCTTTGAGAATATTCTGCAGTTGGTGTAATTGTTTTCTAAGATGAGACTAAGGAGTATATCTTATTTTAGTTTCTGCTATTAATCAAAGCTTCCTCAGAATTCCTATTTCTTAAAAATAGTAGCTCCATGGCTTTTAGGATTGAGAATTCCTGTGTCCCTTCTACTCATCATTTATTTAAGAAAAAAGAAGTCTCTGGGACCTGAGTGGAGCAAATTAGTGGAATTATTATGGTCTGTCATGGCACCTTCCTTACCATTTTACCTTTTCCGAGCTTTGGAGTCTGCCGAGCTGGTAATCTATTAAGAAGCCCCTAAGTAGGTTTTGAATGGAGACTGCAGTGGCTTGGAAGATAACTGTTTTTAAGTAGGCAATAATCTGGCTGTCTTCTAAAGCCTTTATGAATGGTGGCCTCAAAAAGCATCTTCTGTGTAGCTTGTCTCTCTGGAATTAAATGAGAACTAAAATAATCAATGCCATCTGGTTTTCATGCATTTAGGGTTGCTTATTTTTTCAGGACAGGCTAAGGCCATTGGTTGACTTACCTATTTCTGACATATGCTTCCCTCACAACCTTCTTAAATTTGTTTCCAAGTGTGGGAGTAAAAGATTATGGGTGGCAATTCTGTGAGTTGTAACTCTTACTATACATGTGTTAAGTGACTGATGCTAAATACCTAATTTCTCCTCTCTAATTATGGATGAGTTTTGTAATGCAGTATGGGATTGTAAAGCTAAATAAATCCAGATTTTTTTGAACTGCAAAGAGTTTTCCTTCTTTTAACGCTTTTTGCTTTTTTCATAAAGGTAGATGTGTTGTAGGCTAATCATGAGCACATTTGACGGAAAAAACTGTGCATGCTCAGTTTTTGCACCTCATAAATGCAAAAATAATCAAGTTGTCTTTGCATTCTGCAGAAAAGAGGACAGAAATGAGGAGGAAAAGGTCTGTAGGGGAAGAATCTTGTCAGCACCTGAAACCTACCATTATGATGAAGTCCACTGCAGCTATTCTTATTAGAAAACCACTGTTATAAACACAGGCCTGTTCTCTAAAATACGATAAATATTTAGTCAATGTTTAATCCATTTAGTGCTCTGCACTGGTTCCGGCCAGACCTTAAATGAAACAAATGTTAAGGACATTACATTTTTCCAAATTTCATTAAAAGCAGAACAGTGAAATTAGGTAGTGTTTACTGTCAGCCACCCACTGCATTTAAGGTGATGTTTATTCGAAAGCAGCACTGTAATCTAACAGCATGACAGTAATTAGAAATGAAACTTTGTCCTGTTTTTGCACTAAAAATTTTTGTCAGACAAAAGCTGATTTTTGTTAGCATGCAGTAAAAATATGAATAAAATCTGTAGTGTGTACATAATTTTTCTCACTGAAATTTGTGCTGTTAATTTAAATAACAAAGCCATTGATGTAGAGTAGATGACTTGAACAGAAGGTCAGATGTTAAATAAAAAGCTACTGATGATTATGTGAATAGGAGTTCAAGTAAAGCAATGAGACTGGTGCACGAAGTTTCTTATTACTGGACAATTAGTATTTTCTCATGTAGAATGCAAAGGCTTACTGTGTTCTAGCAGTACACTCTGCAAATAGTGCCTGGAGAATTAAAGTCGCTTGCAGTGTGATATTTACTCTTAACTGCATTTTCATGGCCATGCAAATAACAGGTTGAGGGACTCTGCCTGTGCTTTAGTAATGGAAAAGCTTAAATTTTATAAATCAAAGTATTTGCAGGTGTAGAAACCAACTAGGTTAAAGAAATAAGACTATTATAACTACAACTTGTGTAATTACTTTGCTTAAATGCAAAGATGTAACTTTGTGACTGTTTATTTGGGCTGTTGGTGCTAGTTGGTCACTATGGAGCTGACTGACTTCTGTGTGTTGAGGAATGAGTCGGCTTTGGGAGGACCACTGACTGCTTGGAGTGGAGTCAAAACTCTGCTAGAATAGGTTCATGCAGATCAGTTTCTATAGCTTTGTTCCTATGCACATCCTCAGCTCGCTAGCTATGTAAGCCTGGTTTTTACTGCCTGTTTCCACTGGGCATCTGATAGAAGAATGGCTAAGCAAGTGTTAAACTACTGTTAAAAACCCTACACATTTTCCTTGTTGAATATTTTTGAATTTTCCTTAGTTGCCTTCAAAGTGGTGTGGTGTCTGCTTGTAAGCATCAGTGAAATGAAGCGAATTATGTGCTCCTGGTTTCCATTGTTCTTAATACTCTGTAATTTTCTAATAGGGCTTTCTTACCCTCAGTATTTGATCAACTGTATGTTGGTTTACTATCTAGTGCAAAACCCACAAAAGGGAGCACTTCAGAAAATACATTTAGCCATTAAGTAACTGACATTCTAACGTTCTAAATACCTTTTGCCTCTTCAGTGTTTTGGGTTTGTTAGGCTTGCGGCCTGTATTTCTCCCAAGTGAGACTTTTAGAAATCTAACATCATTGTTTATAGGTGGTGACTAGTGGATATACATTTCTCATTAATAACTATTGCAGTCTATCCTTACTGTTGCCTAACACTAGTAGGAGAGAGGCTCCTCTGCCTTCACTAGGGTTTTCTCACTCGTCTCTGGAGGTTCCCTGAAGACAAAAACATTACATCTTCCACTTTAACTTAGCCTGGCAGTACATCAGGAGGTACCAGAGTGTTGCTTGCTCTTTGTGGAAGAGTGATCAGAAGCTGAGACTCTAGAGCAGTGGTGTTTTGCAAGGAAAAGACGATACCCATTCCAAATTTGTACTTCTCTTGGTCCATGTTTGCCATGCTGGCCTTCCCTCTTCCTTCTGCTGGTTGGACTACCATATATCAAGTCTGACTGCTGCAGTAGGATCTTTTTAATTGATTGTTTGTCAAATGAACCACATACTAAGTGATCATGACTGAAACTTGAATCCAAATCACATTATGCTGTGTGGGTTCCAGAATCAGTCTTGACTAAATTTTGGCTTCCAAAGACTTGCTGGTAGTGAAGTTAGAGGAAGGTTTAAAGTTACTGAAGAGCAGACAGACTTTATGTGTAAATTAAACTTCCTTGTGATATGAAGCTTCAGGAAACAACACCTGGAAGTTCTCACAGCCATAACTTTTTCTTCAATGAAATATATGTAGTAATTCAACATCTTTCAGGGAGTCATGCAATGTGTACTTTTCTTTCTAACTATAAGTCTCAGTCTACAGTTCCCTCACCAGACTTTCTTCTTTAAATACTTCTGCCAGATTTTCAGTAGTATTATTTAGCCTTGTGACATCAGAATTGGTGGATTAAGACAGCTATGCCACTGAAAATGCTGTCTTATAGGTACTGGGAAGGGTTGGAGTGTCTCCATTTTTAGGGAAATACTACTGGTGATCTAAACTAGGGGAAACTCCTAAGATGTATGGTTGCCCTGTGGCAACCCCTGCTGGGATCTGCCTCTTCGTTGAGTTTCCTAGGGTTTTTTTGGTTGGGGTGGAAGGGTGTTCATTTTGTGACTACTTTGCCAGTGTATTTACCTGGCTGCCTACTTATTTAAGTATCAATTATAAATAACTGTCAATTTATTGCAGTACTTTTTGGATAACTTTTCACATATTTACATAAAAGCTTTCCTTGACAGGGATTTGATGAGACATAAAGCTCTAGTTTAACTAGACTACCTGGGTCCTTTGTGTCATCATGTCTATGACACGTAAATGTACACATGAACTTAAAAATACATATTATTCCAACACTGAAATATGTACTTCATTCTTCAAATGAATGCAAAGAAATAAGCATAATGTTTAAAACTAAGTTTATAACTAATTACATTATTAACGTTCATTTATTCTGGGTTTTTTTGGTTTGCAATTGCAGGAACTAACATTATTCTTCCTGCTTCTCTCCCCCCAACCTCCCAACCCTTGTCCCCTGCTGAGCTTGATTTTCTTAACCATCAAATGAAGAAACAAAAAGAAGACTGTTTAAGTCAGACTACTTTACATGAAAGCCTATTCAAGGTCTAGGCTCAGTGTTTTATTTTGAGTACTATTGTTTAAGTGAAAACACATTTGTACACTTGCAGATGTATTGGTGTTTAGTAAAGTGCAGAGGTTTAAAGAACGCTTTGTTTTAAGTGTCTCTAAAGTACAGATTTGCAGACTAAGCCGTTTGATTCTCTGTGGTGCTGTTTGTAGTACCATGTCGTTTTGTTTGTGTGATTTCACAAAATTTTTGTAGAACTGCATTAATCCGTCTTCCCTAGATGCTTCAGTGTAATTTCTCTAAGAGTTGAAAAGCAACTTTAAAAATATTTATTAATCACTCCAAGAAAGAAATCAAGAAGCTTTCGGTTTAAACAGTGTCTTGTTTCATGACCATTTTTAGCCTGGCGTAATTATTTTGAGTGGAAATTAATTAGTCTTGAATATACATGCCTGTGTGTGCATGATCCTAGGTCAGTTCAAGCTGAAGTTCATCATTAAAAATCTAACTGAAAATCGTGTATGTTGTAGGGCTCTAGCTGACATGAACAATGATGGGAGGATGGATCAGTTGGAGTTTTCAATAGCTATGAAACTTATCAAATTAAAACTACAAGGTTATCAACTCCCATCTGCACTGCCTCCTGTCATGAAGCAGCCACCTATTGCTCTGCCTAGTGCACCAGGATTTGGTAAGCTCTTTGTTTTCCTCCTCTTTAGCGTGTATTGTAGCAACGTAAGTTGAATTTGATTGTTGTTTTGCAGTTTCTAAAGGAAACTTTTAGGAAAAAGTACTTCTAAAAGTATGTGGACTCAAAACCAAATGCTGCCACATGTGTGCACATGCTCCAAAAAAAATCTCAATGAACTTTTAGCACCCAGCCATATAGAATAGCACAAGTTGAAGTAATGTTTGCTTCAGGTCTTATGCTGTTCCAAACAGAAGTGTTTGTAGGAAAAAGAGATGGATCAGGTAGCAGGGCTAGTGCGTTCCAAGATGATGGAGTTTTTGTTTAAACTGTTGTCATTAAGGGATTTCCAGCTTTGGCAAGATTAGCTATGTGTTTCTAGACTTTTTATAAGCAGACTTTTTATAAGTCATGGTAGTAATGCATCCCTCTGCTTTTGTTTTATGAATAGTGCTGCACTGGTATTAGCTAGAACAGCTGCTAATTCGGTGGTTAAGTACTGCCAAGGTTGCCATCATTTCAAGGAAAAGAATAGGGAAGAGGGGATGGTGAGAGGAAAATAACTAAATGAAGCTGAACCTCATGTTCGACACCTTTATGCTCTGCTGTATTCTGTAGTGAGAGGTTCTTTACCTTTCTGTTTTAGTTGTTGCTGTGACGCAAGTTGATTAGTGCCTGAGAATCACTACTGTCCTTAAGAAAAGAGAATAGTGCGTTTGATAAACTGCGTGCAACCATGTTCTTTGATCAGTTGTCACTTCCACAAGTTTTACAAACAGTTTTATTTCTGACCGTAAGAAATCAGTGAAATTGAACAGAGCAAATAATCAAGTCAGACCCCCAAGAAAACCTGTAAAATCTGTGATTTTTCTTTTTGTCGTTCACAGTAGATTTGATCTCAGCTGTTTGCACACACCCTCATTCTTCCCATTGGCATGACTGGACCTCCTTAACCTCCCTGTTATCCATGCAACTGTGCTTACACCTAAAATACCTCATTACTGTGCTTTACCCTATTAGCTTTGCACTGTTTCATCTTGACAATAGGCTGCAAGCAGTTATCCTGAAGCTTGTTCTTTTCAGCTGTGGCTAAATGTAGGCTTTGGGTTCATTATTCACTGGAAGTTGACAGTGCTGCTCTTCATTTAGTTCAAGGCAAACAATTCCTTTCTTCAGCAAATGCTAATAGACTTTTTTGGTCAGTGTTGCATCCAGTGTGATCTTATATGCATATGTTATAAAGTGGTATGTTGTTCCCTCAGCGTTGTTTTATGTTCCCTTGCCATGCTAATGATGCAGCGGACTGTAAAAGTTCTTTCAAGGGGTGTGTGGAAGTTTCCATTTCAATTCGCTCTTTAGTTCTGCATTTACTGCTGGATTGTAGGCTGCAGTAAGTTGTTGTATCGTATTAGGAGTCTCTAAATTAGAAAAAATATCTGCTTTTCTTGCCCATAGGTATTGGGGGCATTGCCAGCATGCCATCTCTTACAACTGTTGCCCCAGTGCCAATGGCATCTATTCCAGTAGTAGGAATGTCTCCACCATTAGTATCTTCTGTTCCTGCAGCAGCAGTACCTCCCCTGGCTAATGGAGCTCCTGCTGTTATACAGCCTCTGCCTGCTTTTGCTCATCCTGGTATGCTACATACTGAGACTCTGTTTACTCTCGCTATTAACAAATTATTTTGCCATTTTCTTTGGATCCAGAGAACATTAGACATGGAATTAGCCATTCTAACTTACTTTAAAGAATGACTTTGGGTAGGGACTGTGCTTTGGTTTAGCCCAATGTAATTGGTTAGCACACCTGTATAAAAGTTAAGAGAAGAAACATGGACATCCCATACTGTAACAGTCTGTCATGTTGAGCGAAATATTAACCCTGTTATAACAGCAGTGTGATAAGTCTAGCTTGCCAGTAAGCTGTTGCCTAGAAATTGGTCCTCTCCTATCTATTTATAACTATTGAAGTAATTCTGTTTGTTTGGATTACTTTAAAATACTGCACTATGTATGATTTCTAACATTAGTCACAGTATAATTTGGTATCAATAGGGTTTGCATAAAACTGCAAAAGTAAAAAGAAGTGAGAGAAATGCCTGTGTGTTTTCACCTACTTTGTTAGACACTGTTATCTTAATATTTTTGAAAGGGACACCATAAGAAGAACCATAATGCTTGTATTTGATGTTAGGAACTAAATGTCTGTCATTGAAATTCTACAGTTTAAAAATGCTAATACTAATAAATACCTGTATTGTCTTATTTACAGCCACATTGCCAAAGAGTTCTTCCTTTAGTAGATCTGGTCCAGGATCACAGCTAAACGCAAAACTGCAAAAGGCACAATCGTTTGATGTGGCTAGGTAAGTTGGTATGGAATGAGTGTCTGGGTGTATATCTGGTTCTCCATAGTTAGAAAAACGACTTCTCTTTCGCAAAGATGTTTTCTGAAATAATATTTACTTGCAGAAATCAATTCC